ATATCTTTCATCAAGATTCGTTTTCATGTGGAGTTTTTTCATTTTGATGTTAATAGGTGGATGTGAAGGCTTGAAGCCTCCCATACTTCAGTCATTTATAGCCAGGATGCCATAAACTTCCTTTATATTACTGAATAATAAAATTCCACTATTATTGACATAAATCTTTGTGACCAATTATTCATTGGTAACATGAGATGATTCACTTGTCCATTTGAGTAATTTTATACATCATTGAATTAACTATTGTTATGTTGTTCTTCTTTTATTGTAGAATTTAAAAAAAGTTAGCTGATGATGAACCTATATAAGTTCGAAACTTGTACTGATTGACGGTTTTATCGTTCGAAGATCTGAGGGTGATATTGAATTATAGAGACGACTTTGAAATTTCTGAATCTTGAATCTACTATACTCCACTTCGAGATATAATGGACTTCTACCACAGGTTAAATATAATTTGTTATTCGTTGCATAATTGAAAATTTAATACTGCTGAAAGTTGATTCAAGTAAAAGAAGATAGAATGAATCATAAAATAATGAATTCGTCAAGATTGAAGAACATTCAATTCGAAGAATACATGAAATACCATTTCATGCTAGAGAGCTAAAAATACCACTTACTCTGCTGGCAATGCCAGATATTAATGAGAGCCTCTCATCTGAAAAATTTTGATACGAATTCTTGGTTCTGAAGGAGTGACTGAAATGGTATTGAAAAAAATACGTTAACGAATTGTAGTAGTATGTTGCAGTCTCTTCAACCCTTCTTACAAGAAAGGGGTTGTTATTCCTTCTCCTCAGATATTTGCTCGAATTCAGCTTATACCTGAAAAAGGAAAGAGAAATGTTTTGAATTACTATGAACCAGTTGCTTAACTATCAGAGATATTGAATATCATTGTGGAAGCTGTTTATCAAGACATTCTCAAATGTTTGCAACATATAAAGCTATCATCGATATGGTTTCCTAAAGGAAAGATCAACAGTAACTCTTTTCACATATATCACCCATCTTTGAAATAATGCCATTCGGAAAGTCTCATTTGCAAAATATTATGTGACAGTGTTTGAATGATATTCAACGAAAGTCATTCTTTTATGGAGGAAAATTAGTTTTCATCGACCTTTTTTTGTATATTTGTTATCTTCCACAATTTGAAAAATATAAATATCATAATGGAAAACTTTATACAAGTGTAGAAAATTTCAATGAAGAAATATCATTAATTAAATCTGTTTTGAAAGATAACGCTTATCCAGATTCTTTCATAAATTCAACGATAAATTCAATAGAAAATAAAGAGTCAATTAAAAACCAAACGAACATACAAACAGCTTCACAAAT